TTACGTTGTCAATATTCAGGACTAAAGATCCAGTACATTGAAACAAAGTTTAAATCAATTTGAAGAAATGCAGATCCTTAGATCCTTTTAAATACTATTTTAGGTTTCTTGTGCAAGGAGCGCCAAGACTTCCAAAACGTTGAGTTGGTGCCAAAAGGCTTCTATGAGATCGCCAGCTCAAAAGCACAACAAACGTAAGAGCTAACCTCAGCATAAAAACACTAGTTAATTAGTTGTTGCTTGCATGACGTTCATGACACAAATCACTCACATGAGCCTTGTGCTAGTAAAAGCACACGTTTGCATGGCTAGTCAAGATTTGAATTTCCAGAGGTTGTATCTCCTTTCTGATGAGAAAATGAGTGTTCATACCTTGTGCTCATGAGTTTGTATTTGGAAAGCTCTCTCGTATAAGCTCCTCCCCAGTTCCTGTTCGCCTACATTCCAATCCAGATGCTCGCAAGTGCGAGAATTGGTCCTGAGTTCCCTGGCTCCAGATCGAGCACAAGCTCCCCACACTCCGCCGCCGGGCACGAATGGCTCCGCTAGATCGATCGCCCCAGGAGATCCACCGCGCAGCACCAGTGATCGCACGAACTCTTGATCCCATAGACCCAGCTCCCCGGCGTGACTGATCATCACGACGCGGTCGGGGATCACGCCCGACAGCTCCATGCTCCAGCGCGGGATGCCCGATCCGCGGTCGACGCCACGACCGTCCTTGACCGGTCGGCGAACGCCGTTGTACGCCTCCCAGGCGCGGTCGATCCGCCCGTTCTGGGATCATGGCGCACGCGAGTGGATCCTCCTTGTCCGGGATCTCCCGGAAGAGCGATTCGGCCATGGCGTTCTCCGCGGCCGCCGCGAGGAGGCCGCTCCGATTGGGCATCCTGGCGAGTTCGTCCCTGGCTCGATCGAACTCGTTACTTGTCCAGATGCAGAAGCGCGGCCCACGAGACAAGATCGTGCGTGGGCATGGCGTCGAAGCATCTCTTCACCCCATCGCGATCGCAGCGCTGTGGAGCATCGCGGCAGCGTCGGGCATGGAGTCAAAAGACCATCTCGCGAATTCCCTGGAGCATCGAGTTTGCGGCAACATGGTTGTGCTTCGGCAAACACCGCCTTTGATCCGGGCATACGATTGGTGCAGCGCTGTCCAGCGATCCACGCTCGCTGTAAAAGCCAGCGCTTGCTCGGTCTGGCCGCCAGCGCCATAGCAAAGAATGAGCCCGGGCCACGACTCTTTCGTGCGATCGATTTTGCCCGACTTTGGCAAACTCTTGGACCATCAAATTTCCAGAGACATGCGGCAAATAACAATTTGCTATGCTGATTTGGCCGTCTTGGCAGAAAGCTGTGATCATTGTGTTCCAGGAAAGCACATCCTCGGCACCACCACCACAAAGCCAAGCATCGAGGTGGTGTGCCGAGGATGTGCCGAGGATGGGGAGAAGATGATCTCTCCTAGAGTGCCATCAAGAGCATCGAGGTGTCGGACCTGAGGGAGGTGGTCATCTTCGCGGCGTCGGGAGCCACTTGCTTCCGGAGCTTCCACTGTGCAGCAAAGCTCATGACTTTCGTTTCTTCCAGGTTTTTTGCTCGAGGAAAGTGTCGCTATGGCAATGCATGCCGACGGGGTGGGGTCCTTCTTGCAACTCGCGGTGGTGGTTTCAGAACTTGCGTCTCCACCGCAACCGCGGTGACTGGGAAAGATTTGGCGAGTGGCAATGGTGGTCTTGGAGGTGTGTCCACGCCAAGCGCAGCTATCGTGAAGGATCTGAGTGGCAGCGCGGGCAAAGCCCCGATACATTACGATTAATAATGTGATATCCCATTATTACCCTGGCGCTGTTGAAGAATACGTCGTTTTCCAATGAAGTTTAGAGCATGGAAATGCTGATCTTTCTTCCGGCTTCGCTATGACAATCAGGCCGGTTTAAACGAAGCTCCAAAGTTTTGTTTCCGCGAGGAATGCTTCGCAGTGATTTCTACAGCTCTAGAAACAGTGTTTTCTTCTTCTCTAATATACCTTGCTGTTGCCAGGCCATGGAATAGTCCAGCTCTGGAAAAGTCCGTTGTCCATGTTGACGTGTAACTCTTAACCAAAGCATCGTTCAGGCAGAGGTAAATTTTGCAGTTCTAAAATCGTTACAATCGTTTTATTGATTCACGTTCTCCACACACAGGTGGTAATAACAAATCCACAGACGGTAACTCAAGATGGCCGGTAAGTGATGAGATTGGGAACCTTAATGTAAAGGTAGTCGCGGTACAAGCCTTGGAGCTTCATGGTGATAAACGCCTTCCAGTTGACAGTAGCACCAAGCCACAGGCTTCGGGCATGGCATCCGGGCGGTAGCATGGCATCCACCTCGGCTCTCACAAACTCCCAACCTTTGGCGTTGTAGTGGACGCTCAGCGCCCGTGCGAGACGATGGAGATGGCACTGGATGATCGTGTGAAAGGCCAGGTTGTGAACTTCGTCGATTGTCTCAGCAAGCTGAGAGCAGTTCTCCGCATCCCACACGTCGAGCTCGAGGCCAGTGGTCTCGAACAGAGTTTGTTGGTGGGCTTTGATACCGCCCAAGTCGCGGACCGTGAAACCCACGAGCTCCCACTCTCCAGCGACAGCTGCGGGACGGAACCGTGCCAGAACGTTTTGGAGATGGGCCTCGAAACTCACTCCGTGTTTCAGCAGCGGTGGAAGGAATGCCCGGAGGAAGAGCCGGGCGTAGTTCTGGAAGAAGAGCTCCTTCTTCTCGAGGGAGTCGAGGTGGAACAGGGTGTTGACGACGAAGTCATCGCTCCTCGAGGGATATCGCTCAGTGAGAGCGGCAGATAGCACGACTCTCTCGCCTCGGGCTCGGGTGGTGGCCAGGTGCTGGGGGTCCTGCCGGATCACGCAGCTCAGGTTTTTGGCGACGTCGGGATCCGGGTGATTGGAAACAACGCTGGCGAGCTCGTGAGCAACCTCGAGCAGGTCGTTGTCCTCGATGATCTTGTCAGCAACGGGCTTGAAAGCTGGGCCGATGTGAGTCGTCCACGGTGTGATAGTCCGGGTGGCCGAGCTGATCTTCACACCGATTGGGAGCTTGAGATTGAAGGCGGGGAGCTCGTCCACGACCACTGTTCTCACTGAGGCTTGAGCTCGGGCTTTGCAAGTGAAAGGAAGGTGGCGAGCGTGAGGAAAGTGGAGCAGCACGCTCGGGACTTGGACGTGGTGGACAGGCATGACGAGCTCGTCGCAGGAATCCATGAAAACGTTGGCCCTGGTGGAGGAGATCTGGACGAGAGGCGCTACAAGCTTCTCAAAGTCGCCACGGACAGTGAGCTTGGATCGTGGAACCGCGAAGAAATGGATCTTGGGGGCCGATAGGTCGTTGTTCCAGGGATCGATGGGCAAAGTTGGAGGGACGTGAAACCTCGACTTGTGCATGGGATGGGTTGCGTGGCCTTCAACAATGAGCTGCTCCCACTGCGTCGAATCGGTGGTGTGCTCGAGTTCTGGCGGAGCTCGTCCCTGGTGGTGGCTGTAAGCGGCCGCCTGGTGTGACACCGAGTTCTCCATCTCTTGAGTGATCTGCTCCACCAGCGCAGCGCTCAAGGCCGGGTTCCATTCTTGGAGCTGCGTGGTGACGGTCCGGACGTCTGCGGGCACGTACTCGACAGGTCGATCGACTTGCAGCTGCTGGACGGGGAAGCCAATCTCGTCCGGGTCGAGCAAAGTTACTGGAAGAATCTCCGCGGGCTCGCCGCCGAGCTGTGGAGGCTTTTGGACCGGGGGAAGCTCTCGAAGTGGCACGAGAAAGCTACCGTGCTTGAGTAGCTCGAACGCTTCGGAGGCGGCGGAGATGCACATCCAGTGCTTGCGGTGCTTGGGAGGGACGGGAGCCGCGAGCCTGGCTGGGAGAGATTCGGCGTGGAGCACCAGGTACGCTTTCACGAACTTCTCATTGACGAGGCAGGCGAGCAAGCGTGCTAGTACCGCGTTCTTGGCCTCGGTCTGGAACTTGCTAACTTCCATGCTTCCTTGATTTTCTTTTTCTTTCAGGAATGCGAGCTTTCAAAGAAAGGAGCTACGCGTGTGCTTGTTCCTGGAAAGCAAGCAAGCAAAGCAAACTCGTTACTCAACTGAGAACTACACTCGTAGGAGGTGGCGTTTTTTCGCCTGGTGCTAGAGGAATCGCGGAAAAGGACGCGAGGCCGAGAAGAGATATGGAGAGAGCACAAGTTTGTTTCGGCAATAAAGAGCGCCATCGCTTATGTACTGCGCGCATGATTGGAGGCGTGGAACGAGTCCATGCCAAGGATGTGGTGTGTGACGCATCGGGCACGAGTTCTCTCGAGCAGGACATACTTTGGGGAGGGAGAAGACATGATTTGCGATGAATCACAGAGTTATGGCGATGATCTTGTGGTCGCGCTGGAAGTTGAGATACGAGGAGATAGATTATGAGGTACAAGAGAAAGGGTCATTGATACGGTGCAATTGGACAAACATCCCTGAGAATGTGGGAGTTAGTAACTGGGGCAAGAGATGCGTACACCAGGCACGAGCTTGTCTCGAGCGGGGTGTACTCGGGGTAGTGGGTCGGTTCGTATTATATATATTTGGAGATATGCAGCGAAGATTGGATTTTCAGTATATATTAGAATATGGCCTTTTTGTTTTTCTTGATTATAATTTCCAAACATTTGTTTTAAAACTCCAGAATTTTTGTGTAAATCAATTCGGCTTTCCAGATTTTAATATGAAAAAATATGTTAAATATTCTGGGATATTTTACCATTTAACAGTTATTTAAATTAATTTTGTGTTTATAATTTATAAACTTTCCTAAACACTTTTTAGTGTATTCTAATTTAAACACTATTGTAATTATAAACTTCCATTTGATATTAAGTAAACCAAACATGATCGTTATAAACTATGTATCTAATTTAGATTAGCATTGTTATTTTGATTTACTACAAATACAAAGCTATAAACACTCATCCAGTAAAGGCAAATGCGATTTTCTTCTTGCCAATACACAAAACACAAGGATGCATTTCTTTTATTATGTGATCGCCACAGAGACCGGCAATCCCGTGCGTAAGAAAAAAAAATTGGCTCACCTGATCCCTGGGCCGCGTGGTCATATACTTTGGAGTTGGGAGTGTTCCAAACAAGAGTTCTGTGGCTACGCTGCTGCCGTGACCTTGTGCTGCTCCTGGTGGTGCTCGGCCAGCATCCCCTTGAGGCTCTTGGTGAGCCAGATCGCCGTCTCCCTGGGCGACACCGCACCGCCACCAAAAGGCTTGAGGACGATGGCCAGCTCCTCCAGCCTGTGCTGCGCTAGCAGCTGGGCCGAAAGCTCCAGCAAGCCTTCCAGAGCATCCGCCCTTTGTCTGTAAGACTTCAAGTCCGTCCCATCCATCGCACCCCTGTCCTGCTGCTCGCTCCCGGACGCTACCTCTGTTGCTGTCGCAGTAGCACTCAAACTCGAAGGACCACCACCACAACCGCCACCTTGGTGTTGACATTGTTGCTGGCTTTGCTGCTGCTGCTGGGAGATTGGAAGCACCTCCACGTCGGGCTTGAGATCGAGCAGCGACGCGATGTCCATGTCCCGCGGAAGGTCGCTGTGCGTCGGGTGGTGTTGCTGCGGCTCGGCCTTGTCGCCGCCACCGCCGAGCCTAAACGTGCTGTGCCGGATGACATGAACCACGTCGTTGAAGACCGGGCCCGAGCTGCCTGGCATCTGGACTTTCTCGTTGCTTATCTGGATGGCTATCTTGTCCTTGGATCCACCACCGCTCCCGTGATAGCGATCGCCACTTGTGTGGAAGTCGCCAGACTTTGCGTGGCTGCTGCGCGGCTCTGGCAGCCTGCTCTTGGAGAAGTACCTGTCCGCGTACTTTGCAAAGTCGTGGGCCTCGCACAGCGACTCGTCAGGCGTCAAGTTGAACTGCGGGATCTTGTCCAGCCTGGGAGCGTTCACTGAGACGTCTGGTGATCGGAGGTCCTTCAATCCGGCCAGGTGCGCCGACTTCTTGTTGGACGGCCGGACCAGAGGCCGCAGCAGCGATAGCACGTCGTCTTTAAACTCCTGGTCCCGTCCGAGAGACTTGACTGGGCTCGGATGTATCCGCGACTGTAGAGATGACTTCACCGTGGTGCGAACGAAGGCTGGATCCTCTGGCCGAGAAACTCGTCCAGCCGGGTTAGTTGTTGGTGTGTAAGGCTTTGGTGTCTCGTGTACCGCCGGCACGGCATTCCGGGAAGTATACTTGCCACCACCAGCTGCGGGCATCGAGGACCTTCGTGCAGTTGAAAGTGGTGTTGTGGGGACGGTCGGCTTAGACTTAGCTCCAGTTGATCGTTCCACCACAAGCGGAGACACCAGCTCTGCTTTGATTTTATATCTTGAAGGAGGCTCCCCACCCTGCAGACGCTTGAAAAGTTTAGAACCATTCAGAATTGTAAGCACGAACACTTACAGAATACTTCTTTCGTGGAGGAGCTTCCCTTGCTAACGGCGTCCGAGGACTTGGGACTACCGACTTTACACGGCTAGTTCGAACCGGCGAGCTTTTGATTGGATACTTGTCTTGTTCAGCACCAGAATCCACTTGCGTTTCACTCCCGTCCGTCAAGTTTTCTTCGAAGTGCCTTTTAGCGAGTCGATGCTTCAGCCACTCAAAATTCGTTAGACCTGCGTTTCTTCCCAGTGTCTTTGATAGAGACTCTGATGACGTCTCGGAATTCTCCTTCTCACTCGTATCGACATTCCAAATGTGACTTGCAGTTCTGCTAGTGGGAGCAGCTGATTGCACGTCGTCGTGCTCAAATCGTTTATTGTCGACGTCGCCACTAGAGTCCGTGGCGTTCATTGAATAGCTGCTATCGCCACTAAGGTCCAGGCTGTGCGCCATGAGAAGAGCTCCACCAACTTGCCTTCTACGCTGGAGTAGATACGGTTGCAAATGAGGGTGTCTCAGTAGTTCTGCGGCCTACAAAATGTTTCAACCAGGTCAGGTTAGCGACAAAGGTACAAGTCGAACAGATTACCGTCGGACGATGCTCCGGATTTTTTCGAAGCATACTCCGTATCAAGGATTTACTAGAGAACACAGTGCAGTCGAAGCAAAAAGTTAGCAAACGAGCAGAACAGGAGAAGACACTCAATGCTGCACTCACAATGAGCTAGAGTAGCACGTTGGCAGTGGGCCGATCGAAGACTTGTTGATTTTATTGATCAGTCCTTGGATGTCCTGGTCAGACAAAACATGAAAAACGGTTTCTGCAGAGCAGGAAGTAAGAAAACTCACGAAAGCTTTAAATGCTGGCCTATGTGCGCTCATCTCATACATGCAACATCCTGCACACGTAACGCTTAAAATTAGAACCAACTCAGAACCATTATTTACTTTTACCTAGAGACCAGATATCTGACTTGAAACCATATGGGATATCAGCTAAAAGCTCAGGACACATGTAGTTCGGTGTCCCTACGACCTGTATAACAGCTTTAAGCAGAAGAAATACGACCACAGGATGGTATTTACCGAGCACGCAAGGTCATCCGACTTGAGCATTTTGGCGAGTCCAAAGTCACCTACCAAGTTTTCCACATTTTAGTGAGAAACACAACGAATGCTCCAATCACTTGGCGTACCTAATCGAATGTCATGATCCTTCGTTAAAAATATGTTGGAGCACTGAAATGGAGAACAGCTGTTGAGCATATCACGGGAGCACTGACAAACACGTCTACCTTAACATCCCGATGGAGAATGTGGTTTGCATGTAGGTACTCAACGCCCAAGAGGAGTTGGACGAACCATCTGCAAAGCCTCTGTGACAAACAGCAGAAACATTAAAACCAGAAACAATGAAAACAATCCGCTGACCTCCTCTGGGAAGTAAGTTCCGTTCGCTTTACGGATGATGTCCGCCCTGCGAAACATACAAGAGGCGAATCATAAGAACTCGAAGTGTTTGTTATGAACAAAACAAATGCGTACATGTCCCCTCCCTCACAGTATCCTGTGACGATGCATACATAGCATCCCTGCAGACTTGTATAAGAACAAAACTACGCATAAAACAAGAATACCAAACCTTCTCCACCCACGCTTCCTTGTATTCGACAATGTGAGGGTGCTTCACCCGAGAAACAAGAGCCATCTAGAAACCAAAAACACGTTATGCGAAATTTTCTCCTCAAATTGCTCGAAGTACCTCTTGGTGAGCAGAACGCCTGCATCTATCACTCTGGCGAGCAAGTCTTATTTTCTTCAAGACATACCTATGACAAGCGGAAACGATAAAAAGAAAAAAGGAAAAAAAAAACATGAGAAGGAACAAGGAACATCAAAACACAATGCGCCTTACTTCTTCTTCTCAAGTTTGTGATTGACGAGAATGGCTGAGCCAAACGCGCCCTTCCCAACTTGCCCAATGATCTCATACTGCTCCATTCTCGACGAGTCCATTGAGGAAACGCGTCGTTCGGGCGCCCCTTCTCACATATGGACAATGGACCGTGAGGCAATTTCCTAGCTTTGCTTTCCTAGCTGCAACTGGCACAGCAGAGATATCCACGCAATCAGATTCTGACGGTGAGGAATCGTACTGGGAAAAACGAAAAAGAAAAATGTACCTTGTGGAAGCAGTACGCCTAGTGATGAGAAGAATTCATCCACCCAATAACGGTGTGTCGCCCTTCAATCAATCACAATGTAGCTTCGGCACCGACGAATTAAAGGAAAGGAAAAAGGGATGGGGCAGAAACATATGGTCCGATCGCCTGCGCCCAACACAAGCAACGCAAGGGAGCAATCTTTTATGCTCTACCAGTAAAGAATTTAAATATGGGGAGAAAATTTCTCACCTGGATTTGTGTCACTGACCGAGGAGATCGAGAAAACACCGCAGTAGAAGCATTTAAAATCTCCTCTCGTCAAAGAAAAGATGCCTCTGCCAGAAAGGACGAGGAGAAAAACTTTTGGCCCCCTGCGACTACTGTAATATTTCGGCAATGCCGCCGCAAAAGCACCTCACCAGCCGCTAGAATCGAGATTTCCCGGAAGAAAACTACGCAATCAGCACTAAGAACAGTGGATTCCCCGGCCAAGAACACGGATTAAACCCGAAGATCGGACGCGGCCGTCGCGGCGCCAGGCGTGCCACGACGCGGATGGAGCTAGCGCCTACGATCGATCGATGACTCACCCGCGACTACTCTCGCTAAAACCCTGTTCTTCCCTCTCTTCTTTCACGATTAACCCCAATGTCCGGTCGAGGGTGTTTAAATTAAAGGTAAATTTCAAAAAGCGTACGTTTACCCTTTACCGGTACCGGCGACGTGAAATTTGAACCAAGTGTGAAAATGAGATTTGGCGCAAAATTGGGCAATGTAGCATGACCCATGATAAGACATGACAGTTGAGCTGTATGTGGGCCATGAGAAAACAAAGCAAAGAACCAACTTAAATGAGTCATGGGTCATGGAGCGTGGTGGCGTCGTCGGTTCGATCCTTTTGACTTGCTCTACGTCAGTTCTTAATTGTTGAAAGCTCTTGTATAAACTAATTGTATTTGTATTGGTTCGCTGAGACGAGCCAGAAGTTGTCGAGTGGACAAGCTAGCAGCTGAGAGAAGAAAAAAATTCTTGGAGAGAAAGGGAGCATCAATCTATAAAGAAAAACTTAGCAAACACTGAAAAACAAAGTGGCAATGAACATATTCAGTCAGTTGCACACGCTCATGTTGGTGCTCTATGAAGCTCCACATATGAGACAAGGAACTGAGTCCGGGTTGAAATGATTCTGGAAGCGAGTGAATGCAATCTCCCACTAAGAAAGAAATAACGAGGAAATAAGATATGCTTGCAATCATGGTAAGAAAAGTTTGGAGTAAAATCAAACAAGAAAAGAGATACATTTGTTGTTTATCTGTTAAGAAAACCTATAGGTAAAGAATATACCTAGAATATTCAAGTATATCCCACTTAAGATTGGAATAATCATTTCCCTTAAGACATGTTAATCTTCTAAAGAATTTCTATTAATTGTTGTGCTTTTAAATTCAAATTCTAAATGAATGCCAAATCAAGCTTTCTCCAATGCTACACAGAAAAAAAAAAAACTATACTCAATAAAAAGACATTCATCAAGAGTGTGTAAAAACCAGTTGCAACAAATTATGATTCTAATTATACATCCTACTGTCCAAATACATGCTCACCACAAAAACACATTAACCAACTTTTGGAATGTTCCACATTCTTTATAGGATGGCTGAGTGTCTTATGGCTTGAATATACTTCTAGCAATAGGATTCTTTGCTAAAAGAAATTCCAAAATCTTTAACTTTTGATTGATAGAGATTCTTGCTAAAAGATTTAGTGAATGGTAAGCTTACAGTTAGAAGCCTCTAGTGGAATTAAAAGGTTAAGATGATCCATATCCATGTTAAGGGTTTCAACCTTAATTTAATTGATATAACTAATCTTTTAAAAAAGATTAATTTGTAAAGCAAAAAAAATTCTTTTTGGTTTGCTGGTAATATAGCTACATCTAGTGTTTATAATTTATAAACATTCTTAAACACCTTTAGGTAAATTCTAGCATATTTTATTATCTAAAGTAGAATGTATTTAGATTAATCTTTTTTTTTAAATTATAAACTTTTCTTACATATCTTAGCAGCAAAGGCCTCACTACCAATTTCATCCAGCTCCATGCATTGACACCTCCACTCTCACAAAATAGCACTTAAGTTTTTGAAAGTCATGACAAAGTTATACATGTCACAAAATTTATCACCACCATTACAATATCACTTATAAATCCTTATAGAATTCTGTGCCTCATTTTCAAGTGTGGTTAGAGTTGTTCAAATGTTTTGGCTATCCCAAAATCCATGATCTTGAGCAAGAGGTTGAGAAGAGCCAATAGTATTAAGATGATACTTAGCTTTATTGAGTGAGCGCAAGCACTTCAAGCCTTGAGAAACCTAAAGTTATATTGACATAGACCAAGACTGAGAAAGGTCACACAAAGCTTTCTTCTTGTACTTGAGATTGCTAGATTAATACTTGAGGCTATTGTGTCTTGACATGAGGATGTTAGAGCTATATGTAGAGCTATTTGTTTTTAAAAAGCTTAAAGCATATCTTTATTTGAAGGCTTTAACTTCTTGAATGTAGCCCCTACATCTCAAAAGTCAAGTACTTCATTTTTTAACTGAATGGAAACTACATCAATGTTTTGGATGCAACTATGGGTTTATTGCTTGAAATTGGTCTTGATGTGCTCCCTTTATGGTACCTTTGGTTGTAGTGTTTATGAAATCAAAGCACTTGTGTTACTTTCTATGATTGGAGAGAAAGCCTTGGAATTAAGTATTAATGCTTGTCTTCCTTAAATATACATCGCAAATGTAAGCAAATACAAATAACAAAAATAAAGGCAGGAAAAATAATGCATACATTGACAAAATAAATTTAAACAGAAAATTATTGTTACAAATGCAAACTCACCAAAAATATTCAGACTCTTATCAACTTATCTTGTAAGCATTCACAAGAAAATAGATATACTCATTAAAATTAATACACAAGTTTTTTATCTTAGCTATCATTGGATTTATCTTGAGCCATTGTAGCTGGATCATTGTTTTGCAATTGCGTGATGGCATGGACATTATTAATTGCATCCAACTCGGATTCTAACTTCTATTAAAAATTATGACTGACGGTTGGATCATTGGACATGCGGTTTTAGAAACTGCGGAAGACTGACTGTGTTTTATTGCCAAGGGGGTGGCTATCCAAGCTGCTGTCTGTTCACCACCACTTTCCCACTGAGGAACTAAGTGAGATCTGGGAAGAAATGAAGACTGCAGGCGAGGAGGATTTAAGTGAGGTGGCCGAGATAGAGAGAGATACAGAACTGGTGGGTTTCTTCAGGCTCATGCTTTCCTACAGACGAAAGTGGAAACGGGAGGCTTTGGAAGATGAGCTGCGTGCCTGCGTGAAATTGCTGGAATCGTTGAATCGCACTCTTGGTAAGCTTGTGCCTTGGGAGTTAATGATATAATTTCCTCTTGGTTTGAACGCGCTCTATTTCAAGGAAGCGACTATGCTCTTAGGAGAGAGACTTCGAACCTAGTAAGGTGGAACAGCTGTGAGTTGGATATTGCAGGTCCTCTCAAAGGTTTCTGGGGTCGATTTGTCATGGACCCCAACCCGGAGATGAATATCCTTCAGGCTATCGAAAACCTCGGGCTGGAGGTGTGCGTGGTTGATGAGGACTGGGATACAGTTAAGGAACAATGCGAGGCTTTCATGCGCCTGGTGCCGGAGGCTATGAAGGTTGTCTACGACAGGTTGGGCATGCAGAAGCAGGTGACTTACTCCATTGCGGAAATGGCCCGCACAAGCAATCAGCAGTTCCCTGATGGCCACAATTTTGTGAATGCTTCTCCAAGAATGCCTGCAGAAGGCAAGTCAAATAAGAGCGTGGGTCACAAGCTATGAGGAGAGCTGGTGCGCCTGGCAAATCAGTATTTCCAGTAGAGATACGAATCTTGGAAACTCCTACTGTGTTACAATCCAGATCCGGATTTCAAGAGCACTGTTAGGGGCTTTACCTTTACCAGACTTGAGGTACTCGGTGTTTGACATCCCAAGGGTGTTATCTTCCCGCGACAGTCCCTGATCAAGGACAACCAGCTGGCAATTGAACAAGTGGACGGCCAGCCATTGCTGAAGTACTACCTGGTTGAGGCATGGGTATTAAAGTGAGCGTATGACAACAAATTGGTACAACTTTTGTCATGATATTTGTGTTATCACATTACAATGAGGTAGTAAAAAATTAGTGGTCCAGGAAGAATTGTGGAAATTGATGAAAGTAAGTTTGGTAAGCAGAAATATAATTATGGTAGAAAAATAGAAGGTCAATGGGTCTTTGGAGGAATTGAACATGATTTAAATCAAATGTTTATGGTTCTAATGTTGTACTGCACAAACTTTAACTGATATATTATATACATATGTGTAGTTCTATTTCTATTATTATTCTTAACTAATAATTATAATTAATTTTTTAGGAACAATTATATATAGTGATTGTTGGGCTGGTTATGATTTAGAGTGGTTGAATCAATTGAACTTCACTCATTATACAGTCAACCACTCCTAGAATTTTGTTGATCCCATGACTGGAGTTCATACAAATCGTATTGAATCAACATGGAATGCAATGAAAAGATCCCTTCCTTGCTATGGTACAACAAAAGGATTATACAGCTCTTACTTTCAAGAATATATTTGACAAAAAATATATATTGAAAGAAAGAAAGCTATGTTTAATATTCTATGCAGTTATATTCAGCTATACAATCAAGATAATGCTGTTATAGTAGAATAAATAATATATTTGATTTTGTACTTTTAAATACTTAAAAATAGCTGAAAATAATATACTAGAACAATCTTGTGCATGTAAGCAATGAGGTGGCATGCATATCCAAAGAAGCAAATGGGGCCCACCCTAAATAAAGGGGGGGGGAGGGAGGGGGCGGGGACGGGGGTATGTGTTCTACCTAGGGCTGGATCCCCTCACGGAAGCTGTGCCGGATGCTCTCGTCACAGTCTTGCTCCCGCTGATAAAAGATTGGAGCCTGTCGCCAGACTGCACATACAGGGACTACTGTACTGCTGCTTGATGCTGCTGAATGGTGGTAGTCTTCCTTGGAAGGAAGCAGCTGCCTCCAGGAACCGCTACCATGTTCTTTGTGCCCGGGATGAAGTATTCGCAAGATGGTCAAAGATGAGAGCTTCATGGGGCAGCGCTAGATCTTCAAGCCGCTTGTTGATACCTCTACCATGCAGATCACTCCCATGGTCAGTGGCATGCCATAGTAAACTTTTGCAACTTGGATCTTGTCTAGACAGGCATGTTCAAGCTCTCAAAGTTCTAGAGCTCCAGGTGGAGGACAGAAATTTGCTCGGCTGAGCTCAAAAAGAGACTTAATTTGTAGTTTATTATATTGCTATTTTTGTTTTGTTAGTGAAGAAAACAAAAATGCATTGATTTTGACAGCATTTCTACCTTTTAAGAGGTGTCATAGAATCACTAAATTTTTCAAAAGAAATGTTCTTGAAGGGCTAACCAAATGGGTTATTTTGGCACAAGAGAGAGAGAGAGAGAGAGAGAGAGAGAGAGAGAGAGAGAGAGAGAGAGAGAGAGAGAGAGAGAGAGAGAGAGAGAGAGAGAGAGAGAGAGAGAGAGAGAGAGAGAGAGAGAGAGAGAGAGAGAGAGAGAGAGAGAGAGAGAGAGAGAGAGAGAGAGAGAGAGAGAGATACTCCAATGTTTTAATAAATCAATCTGCTGCTGCCAGCACCTTGTTTTTATTTGGATCTATCAAACTGCCTTTACTTACATGATCGTTTCTTTCATGACTGATTAAACATTCTCCACAGAAAATCAGTGATAAGAACCTATAAAGAAGATGGGTTCTCCCTCTTGCTTGCAGTCGAGCCACAAGAAACTATTTTGTTTGAGATGCTTGCAAACCAAGGACAAATATCAAATTTTATTGCAAAGTGATATTACCTTTATTACCTTTCGTTTGAAAATCTTTTTTTTTTTCTCTTGGACTGGATCTCCGTCCACGTGGACGGCTCGATGGCAGAAAGCCGCTAGCGAGGTTTTAGCCAAACCCCTAGGGTTAGGGCAACAGTTGGGCAGAGAGAAAGGAGGGCGCTGCGGTTCTTGGTGCTTGGCTATGGCGTCCACCTCTTCCTCCTCCTCCTCCCCCGCATTCCCGGAGAGAAAGGGCTTCAAAGCCGACGCCGATGGGCAGCTCTACTACAGCCCCTACAGCGAGCTCTTTGGCACCATGGATCAACACATGTACAAGCTCCCCACCACCCCGGAGTTCCTCTTCTCGGAGGAGGCGACGTTCCAGCGGCGATCCCTGGGCGAGAACATCCAGTATTACACGGGCTGTGGTTATCTGGGCGGCGCGGTGGCGGGCGGCGCCAAGGGCCTGGTGGACGGCGTCCGGCAGATCGAGAGCGGTGACACCGCCAAGCTGCGCGTCAATCGGCTGCTCAACTCGTCGGGCCACACGGGGAGGATGCTGGGCAACAAGATTGGGATCGTGGGACTAATGTACGCGGGAATGGAGAGCGGCGCCTGGTACCTCCGCAAGAGCGATGATCTCCTCAATTCCGTGGCGGCGGGGCTCGCCACTGGCGCCTTCTACAAGGCCGCCGCCGGGCCTAGGACCGCCGCCATCGCTGGCGCTCTGGGAGCCATGGCGGCGGGGGGGATGGTCGTGGGAAAGCAAGCGGCAAAGAGATATCTTCCACTCTAGAGCAGCACTGGAAGAACAAGACTATCTATCACTCGGTAAGTGTCTTTCTTCCAAGCTGGGAGTTTTGATCTCTGTGGCCTGTTTCTTTCTTTCTCACAGTTCTTGCGATCATTATATGGGCGGGGCGGGATCAGTCGATCGATCGATCAAAAGTTACTACAGCTAGAAGAGGGATTGAGAGGGCTTTTTTGTCAGGAATTTGTCGAAATTTAGTAGAATGCTTGAGAATCTCGAGTCCGCGGTGGCTGTGATGACCAAATTTTCCCGAAGATGAGGCTTGGTCGCCTCTGAAATGGAAAGAATCATGAGTCTGAGCCAAAACCAAACCCCTAAACCCCAAATCTTGAGTGCTAGAACCCTAAATCTTTGAGTGCTAGAACCCTAAAAGAAAGTACCTTCTTTTTCTCGCAATGGCGACTGCGAGGTGAGCAAATCTAGAACGCATCCTTGGCCGAGAGTGACTTTGTGAGCACGCAGCAGCACTAGCAGCATCCGGCAGCAGCAGGGGCGGCAGCCGGAATTCAAGTACATCGTTCCACTGATATACGCTCCAATCCTGCCGCTCAGTAAGCGATTTCTTCCTCGCCAGGGATTTCTCATCTCTTTTCGCAGTAAGGCTCGCGTTCCGAAAGAATCCCGAGGTGAGGGATCGAGTGTTTGCGGTGGCGCTCGGGATGGCTTTCGTGCACGGAGGCTATGTGATGTAAGTGAGCAGTGTTCTTCCCTTCTTTTCCACCGTAGAACATTGCAAAAAAGCTCTCTTTTTTTGGCAGATCGGAGCTCTATCAGAAGGAAAGTAGCAGGCAGCCCAAATTGTGAGGCTGGATCGCGAGAAAAAAGAGAAGATCTCCTACTTGATGATTCTTGTGGGAGGATACTCAGCTGGTTTCATCATCTCGAGAGTAGAACAGATCACCGATGCCGCGAGAGCAGTCTTGATAATTCCAATCTTTTTGGATCCCACCGCTGCTCCTGTCAGTGCTCCAGCGAGTGTACCATTTATCTGGGAAAGGAAAAAAAAGACGATTTTTTCATAAGATCCATGGTTTTGGGAAGAACTACAACTACGTACCCAATCTCTCTTCGTTCTCAGGACCTCAAAGCCACAGTTGAGACTCACGTAGAGTCCTCCGCAAAGTCCTGGAAGAACACATAGAAACGTTCTTCCAAATCACTCGAGAAGAAATGGTGAGATGGATTTGCTCACCCCATTTCACGCTGTTGTTGGCGATGGCTTTGGCCTGCGATCGAGCAAAGAAGATGGTGTCGAAGAAGAAAGAAAGTCATGGCAGAACAATGTAGGATGGAATTTTTTTTTTGAAGTACCACATAGGACGCGTTCGCCAATCCGGACAGTCCTGCCAAACGAAGAGAAGGATGATCGATGGAGATGGAGATGGAGATGGAGATGGAGAGATTCCTGCCAATACCTTTCTTGCCAGCGTCGTATGATCCCACGAACAATCCCCACGAGAAGCCGGCCTGGAGAAGAAAGCGCGATTACCATGAGAGGAGGAGGAGGGGCAAGGCGAGAAGGAGGAGATCACCATTCCCATCCGGAGGAACGCGTCCACGGTGCGCGACGAGCATGGAGGCTGATCAATAGCGGTCATGAAATCTCTTCTCTTCTAGGTTCTTTAGGGTTTGCTTTGCTCGATATTTCGTTCAGGGAGCGCCGTGATGCCACATTGCTCCTGAATCTTCCTGGGGATTGATCGCGTCGCGGGGATTCGCTCGCGGTATTTCCAGCTCGATTGGATGATCCAGGAGATTTTGGGACGAGGTTAAGGTGGGATTCTATGCTCCTGGAGCATTTGCTCACGGGGTTTTGTGTTCCAGCTGCTGAAATTTTGTTGGACTAGCAGCATGGACAACGATGCGTGCTTGTTCCGGGAATCGGCCAGCACACTGCAGTGTCTTGATGCGATTTTCGCTACTTCCAGGGACAAGAAATCGCGAAAATCACTCCTGCGCGACGAATGCGTGAGTTTTTCCTTCGTTCTAGCTGATCTTCTGGTCAAGTCTAAAGCCATTCTTCTCTTGGCAGCTATGGCATCGAAGAGGTCTCGCAATCTCCAGGGACAGGCACTTGCGAAAACCAAGTTTGCAAGACAAACACGTAAGTTTCGCTCGTCAAGCTCGAAGTGTTTTTGAAAGATTTTTCTGGCAGCTACTCCGCGAATGCCAAAGACGAGGCGGCACTGGATGTGCTTACATACTTGGACTCTCGATCTCTTCTCACCTCTTTCAAGGAGTGTGCAAGTCTGGCAAGCAAGGAAGAATGCAGGGATTTCGGTGGGATCTTGGTGAAAGTAAACTCTTTGGAGAAAGCCATGGCTGCTCATGCTGATGGTCTGAGGAACGGGTTCGACTTGGACAGATTTGCCGCCAGCACTCTGATCGATGTGTACGCGAAGTGTGGCAGCATGCTGGACGCTCGACTGGTCTTTGACAGGCTCCGACACCACGACGTCGTGTCATGGACCGCATTGATACAAGGCTTCGCAGAGAATGGGGAAGAAGAGGTGGCGCTGGAGCTCTTCTCACAGATGCAAACTCAAGGCAGTTGTTCAGCGAACGCTCGGACTTTTCTCGCTGCTTCGAACGCTTGCACTGGTTTAGCGAGGAAAGAAGAGGGGCGACAGGTTGATGGAGGAAAGATGGTGAAGATCGGGTCTCTGGAACGGGGGCTCTCCGTGCACTATCAAGCTTTGAAGGCTGGCTGCGATTCCAACGTGTTCTTGACGAGCTCGCTCATCAACATGTATGCGAAGTGTGGGAGCTTGCTGGACGCTCGTATGATTTTCGACAGGATGCGTCATCACGACGCATTCTCTTGCACGGCGCTGATGCTCGGCTATGCTGACAACGGAGAAGAGGAGCTGGCCTTGGAAATATGCAAGCTTCTCCAGTTCAGAGGTTCTATTGCTGCTGGGATTTTCACTGCTGCTCTCAACGCGTGCACAGCTCTGGCAGTCAAGGAAGAGTTCCAGCAAGTTGATGACCGGCTTCTCAAGGTGGCGGCTCTCGAGAAAGGAAGAGCGATCCATTTGAAAGCTGTAGAGACGGGGCGGGACTTGGACTCTCACGTTGCATGCTCGCTCCTCAACATGTACGCGAAGTGCGGCAACCTGGTGGAGGCCTTCAGAGTCTTCGAATCCATGCCTCTCCGCGACGTGGTGTCGTGGAACGCGCTAATGGCCGGATGCGTAGACAACGGGGAAGAGGAGCTCGCTCTGGAAGTTTTCTCTCGAATGGGACGACCGAACCGCAGGAGCTTCTTGACGGCACTGAAAGCTTGCAGCCGCCTGGCACGGAAAGAGGAGGCCACGCCGGTTGATGGAAGGCTGGTTCGAGTGAAGGCACTGGAAATGGGAGCTGCCATTCACTCTCAGGCTGTGGAGCACGGCTGCGACTCGGACCTCTTCCTGGCCAGCACTCTGGTAGACATGTACGCCAAGTGTGGGAGCTTGGTGGAGGCACACAAAGCATTCAGCAGCATGCCAAGGCGGTGTGTTGTCTCGTGCAACTCTTTGATCCATGGCTACGCCGAGAGTGGTGAAGAGAGGCTAGCTTTGGAGCTGTTCGAGGCCATGCCGCAGTTTCCAGGCTGCAAACCGAACTCCCGGACTTTCATCGGTGCGCTCAACGCCTGCATCAGTCTGGCGGCCAAGGAGGAAGCCAAGCAGCTGTTTGGAAGGCCAGTGAAGCTGGAGGCCTTGGACATCGGCATGAAAATCCATTCCAAGGCTGCCGAGCTTGGCTGCGAGCTTGACAAGTTCGTTGGATGCTCGCTGGTGAACATGTACGCCAAGTGTGGGAGCCTGGATGACGCTTGGCGAGTGTTCCACGGCATGCCCCGTCGAGACGTGGTGTCCTGGAACGTACTGATACTGGGATACGCCGAGAGCGAGCAGCCGGAGGTGGCCTTGAAGCTCTTCGCACGAATGCGAGACGAGGAGGAAGGCTGTGAGGCGGACTCTGGGACTTTTCTTGCGGTGCTCAAGGCTTGCGCAAGCCTTGTGGCTCTGGAGACCGGGCAGGCTCTTCACAGGGACGTTTATCGGCATGGACTCGAAGATGACATGGTTCTGGCTACTTGCTTCGTGGACTTCTACGCCAAGTGTGGGGGTGTGGCAGCTGCTCAACGGGTGTTCGACTCGTTTTCTATGACGAACATCGTCAGCTGGAGCGCACTGTTAACAGGCTACAGCCACCAGGGAGATGTGAAGCAAGTCCTGGATCACTTCCGTGATATGGAGGACGAAGGAGTGCAGCCAAATGCTGTGACGCTCACTTCCGTGCTCGCGGCTTGCAGCCATGCGGGCCTGGTTGACGTCGCCAGGGACTACTTCCAAGCGATGAGCTTCAAGTATGGGATTCGTCCGGGCATCGATCACTACCACTGCTTGGTGGATGTGCTCGGGAGAGCCAACCATTTGGACGAAGCAGTGGCTGTGGTAAACGCCATGCCTTTCGAAGCCAACGCCATGACTTGGAAGACGCTGCTGGGAGCATGCCGGAAGTGGAAGAACGTAGAGTTTGGGAGGCTTGCATTCGAGTCGCTGCTGGAGCTCGACGAGAAAGACGTGGCTGCCTACGTCTTGATGGCCAACATATATGGGAGCCGGGGCATGGTGGAAGAACAGCAGCATGTCGAGACGATGAAGGCGGGTGCTCGAGACGAGAACTCGGTGGCCGAGCGGAGCTGGTGGACTGAAGATACTGGCACGGTTCACTCGTTTGAAGCTGGAAACGATGCAAGACATCCGCAGTCTCAAGAGATACTCAAGAAGCTCGGCGACTTTGCGGTGGAAATGGAGGAGGACGGTGGAAACAAGCGTCTCTGTTGTCACAGCGAGCGAATGGCCATTGGTTGTGCGTTACTGAATACGGTGCCGGGGACAGCCATACGTATCGTGAAGAACTCTCTGCTCTGCGATGGCTGCCACAAAGTCGCAGCAGCTATCTCAATGCTGGAGAAGAGGACCATTATATGCCGGGATGCAAGCCGGTTTCACGTTTTCAAGGATGGGACCTGTTGCTGTGGTGACTACTGGTAACAGGTATGCTGCATTGGTTCTTTTTTTTCTTGCTTTTCAACTCGTTTTAATACAGGACTGTTGGGAACAAGATCAGTTAAGTCGAACCTCTGTTCCATCGCTCTTTGATTTCAGGTTGACGTTGGGCATCTTGCTCATAGATGTGACGAAGTGAAGGAAGCTTTGTTTAGGAGCGGACAAGCGGCCGAGTGGATGCGTCCTGTGTCAGCTCCTGTTGTCACACGTTCGGTCAAGAATAACCTCTTTGGACAGGCGTTGTGGAGCTCAGCAACGCGTCCTTCCAAATGGTATGCGTCAACATGTCATGATTTTCTGACTTGGCAGAGTTTTCAATTACCAAGCAAGTTGACGAGATCACTTCTGGACTCGAGGCCCATTGCTTGCAGTCATTTGCTCGAGACAAATGGTCCTCGGTGGGAGAAGTAACAGCTGGAAGACTCGAATCGCAAAACTCAAATCTTCCACCTCCATTTTTCAAACTTTTTTCATGTGGCAGGTCAAAGGTCACAAATCACGACTGTTCATTTCACCATTGAGTACTAACATAATCCAGACAAGAGGTACCAGTCCAATGCACGACTACTCTTCTATAATGATCAAAAATAAGTTACTAAACTCCAAACAATGCTTGACAACCTCCAAAGCTGGAATCACATCTCCTGAACTCTTCAGAGGCTGATAAGCTCCAACAAATTTTGCACTTCCTCAATTGTCCATGTAATCACATGGTTGTGTGCGGGCATGTAGAGCTTCGCATGGCATATGTAATTAAATCAGAAAAATGAAGACACTTAGAAAGACAATAACAAATAACTTGCTGCACATGTGAATTTAAGAAATTATTCTCAATCATAATAGCTTCTTTGATTTTAATCTTGGACTTAGGACGTTCAAATGTTTGGAGAAACACTAAATCCACCAGAAGTATGATCCTAGTATTTGCCAATGTATCATGAATTGGAATGTTCTTAGAGGCATTGGTATAAGACAAAAACTCAGTATGCACTTTTAGGTTTAGAATTCACTCTGTCTCCATTACGTCTTCAGATATAACATTGACTGGCGAAGTATAAAAAGAGCAGATGAACTAAGCCATTTCTGGTTACATTCATCCAAGGATCATCCGTCTGGTAACCAGTAGCAATCACGATTGCACAATATCTTTTTCCTTATGTCACCTCCTGGGTGTCCCAAGACCTGTAGTAATCCAATCTGATGAAACTAAGGAATCTTAGAATATTCTTTCTGTGAGAAGTAGTTGGGGTATGATTCTAGAGATATTCCCAGATATAGTATAATAGCTTAAGGCTTAAACTCAATAAAAATAAAACCACATTAGTTTTAAGAAAGAAGCTATAGTCTTTTCAGGTATACAAATACAATCCCAACTCACCCCTATAAAGTTGATATTTATGGCAATCAATTTGTAGCAGGCAGCCTGGTTGCCTAATATGCAATAAGACACATACATTACATGAGTCAATGGTTAAGGTGTATGGGAATGGCAACATCAATATGACATGTCAAATCGCCAAAGTTTGCCACACAGGTATATGTGACATTGTATGGCAGCCACGTCTTTCTCGTCGAGCTCTAGCAGCAACTCGAATGCAAGCCTCCCAAACTCTACGTTCTTCCACTTTCCGGCATGCTCCCAGCAGCGTCTTCCAAGTCATGGCGTTGGCTTCGAAAGGCATGGCGTTTATCACAGCCACTGCTTCGTCCAAATGGTTGGCTCTCCCGAGCACATCCACCAAGCAGTGGTAGTGATTGATGCCCGGACGAATACCATATTTCAAGCTCATTACTTGAAGTAGTCCCTGGCGACGTCAACCAGGCCCGCATGACTGCAAGCCGCGGGGACGGAAGTGAGCTTGGCTGCACTCCTCCGTGCTCCATGTCACGGGAAATGATCCAGGACTTGGTTCACATCTCCCAGGTGGCTGTAGCCTGTTATCAGTGCGCTCCAGCTGACAATGTTCCTCGTAGAAAATGAGTCGAACACCCGTTGAGCAGCGGCCACACCCCCAAGCAAGTCGCCAGAACCATGTCCATGCCGATAAACGTCCCTGTGAAGAGCATGCCCGGGACTTACCATCGAATGCCATCAAGCTCGCGAATGATCGATCGCCCGTTTCTGGTCTCCAGAGCCACAAAGCTTCCGCAAGCCTTGAGCACGGCAAGAAAAGTCCAAGAATCCGCCTCACAGCCGTCTCTCCTCGTCTCCTCGTCTTTGAATCTTTCGTGCGTAAAGATTCAAAGCCACCTCGGGGTATCCCAGTATCAGTACGTTCCAGAACACCACCTTTTTTTCAAGGCATATATATATATATGCCTTGAAAAAAAGGTGGTTTTCAAAATATTATTTTGTAAATCACAAAATAAAATGTTTAAATTATGTTGGAGCTTAGTTACGATAAAATAGTGCAAATTACATTTTGTCGTTGCGACGTAAATACTTAAATAGCTTAAACTCAATAAAAATAAGGCCATCTTTTAGGTTTTGACTTTTCACCAAGGATGCTTTCACGAGTTTTAGGAAGCAAGCGCTTGACCAGCAATGGTTTACGGTCCTTTCAAGTGTATAGATACAATCCCCAAGATGGCAAATCACCCCACCTCCAAGAGTACAAGGTTGACATCAGCAACTGCGTTATGATGCTTGATGTTTTGTTTGAGATCAAGAACAAGCATGATTCGAGTATCACGTTTAGGCGTTCTTGTCGCGAAGGTGTATGTGGCTCTTGCGCCATGAACATCAATGGTAAGAACTGCCTGGCATGCTTAACAAAAGTTGACAGGGATGAGGATGGTATTGCTTCTACTGTGGTGTTGCCTCTGCCACATATGTTTGTGATTAAGGACCTGGTGGTGGACATGACTTATTTTTATCAGCAATACAAGAGCATTGAGCCATGGTTGAAGACCAAAACGCAAAAAGAAGATGGGCAAAAAGAATTCTTGCAAACCAAAGAAGAGAGAGCAAAACTGGATGGGATGTGGGAGTGTATCCTATGTGCTTGTTGTAATACTTCTTGCCCTAGCTACTGGTGGAACACACCTACATTCCCTGGTCCAGCAATTCTGCTCCAAGCATATAAGTAAGTACCATTCCATTCTTTTTCCTAGTAAACTTTTCCAAGTGTTTACTGTTTATTAGAATGATTGCTGATAGCCGCGATGACTTTACCAAAGAGCGTGTGGAGGCCCTCCGTGGAGAGATGAAGATTGGAAGATGCCACACTATTCGCAATTGCTCTAATGCTTGTCCAAAGGGACTGAATCCCGCTGAAAAAATCCTACAGATCAAAGGGATGCTTGGGTAAAGAGTTCATAAATTTAAATAAACATCACAAGCTCATGTCGTTTTTAAATACTCTTGACAAAACAACACCGGTAGATTAGAATAAAGAGCAAATGGACGGCTTGGATGGAAACTCGTCAGACATGCCTTCTTTTTTCTTTTGCACGGATTTAAATGGTAAGATCGATCTCGAAATATTTGTCAGAGAACATTATATGTGACAGTGGATCGAGGACGACGGTGTTTGGAAGCCAGCTCGTTTAGAAGATCTCGATGTCGAAGAGTCAAGGTTTGGCTATTAACCATCTCAAGCCTGTATTCTCACAAGCTTTCATGGTTGACGCGACCGACGAGAACTCGCAGCTCGAGGAGGAGACTTCAAAAGCCAGGCCTGCCGCTTTACTTTTACTCTTATGGTTTCTTTCTTTCCAGAGACAAGCGAATTACATCGAGCGATCGTGAATTAGTACTTGAAAACAACCTCGTTCTTCTCCAATTTTATGAACGAGAACTTGAGGCTGGTCCGGCCAAGCTCGTGGCTCTTCTGGATTCCTTCCCGGCACAGTGTAAGTGCATCCTCGAACTCGGAGTTCTCGATGTTTCGGCTCGAGTTCTCCTCGTTGAGCCAGTCCAGGATGGTACTGCCAGCGGATCCCGCTGCTCCAGCTTTAACTCGCATAATTCCCAGCCGTTTCTGCGAACTTGCCGATGATGAAGCGCTCCTTGGCGTCCACAACGAAGATGTTGAAGTCGTCCTCCATATCCAGAAGGTCCAGGTAAACCACCAACGCTCGTGCTACGGCCGCAGCAGTGCTCAGGTGGTGGAAATCTCGAACCAAGAAGGACGAAGCGCGGTCTTTCACCTGGATCGAGAAACATTGCAAGCATTTTTTGTAATTTGATGAGCAGTGTCCTTACCTGGAGCGAGCCGGCAAACGCAAGCCACACGCGCTCGTTCACGTTCCAAATCTTACAGTGATCGTCCTTGATGAGACACTGCTCGGACTGGAAGAAGAGAGATCCATCGGCAGCCAGCAGCGTACCATGCTTATACGTAAGGCATATGAGCACAGTATTGCTAAAGCACTCCTGAAACCAGTTAAAGAAAAGAGCTTCTCGATCGATAGTCTATAGGAAGCTTACCTGTGCAGCTAGCTTCACGAACGCTTCTCCATTCTCGTTCACGCGGTCGTAGCTCCTGGCCGAGAAGAAATTGAAAAGGATAAAAGACGAATCCCAATTGAGAAGTTATCTACCTGGAACCGTCGGGAGTCTTAGCGCTCTCCCTGGCCGGCCCCCGCTCCGCCCCGTCGTCGGTCGTGTTCTCCTCCGCGATCTCTTCTCCATTGATCTTGTCCTGCATTGGCGTGAAAGAACTGCTAGCTCTCGAAACGATCAGAATTGCGGAAAAAGAATCGAGATGAAAGCATTGTACCTCACGAGCTTGTTCTTGTCGGCGCTGCTACCACTGCCGGAAAAACTTCGAAATGGAAAGCTCCAGACAGCGCCGATCTCTGGCGCGTCGTGCTTGTCTATCCCCTGGGAAGCTAGGATCGCGCTCCTGGTCGATCGGAAAGCTTTGCCGGCTGAAGGAAGCACTCCCTGGATGCAAACTCCTGCACCACGGCCATGCCTGGAAAAGAATTGGAAACAAGAATCAGCATGAAAGATCCATACCCCGTGACGATCTTCTTCGCAGCTCGCAGCATCGAATTCATCCAAGAAGAAGAAAGAAGTAGAAATAAAAAACGAAAACGCTATACCAAGATCCCTTTTCCCCTGCCTTCTACCATAGGCATCACGATACATTTCACGATCAGTGCAGGTTGATCATCATCAGATTATGTCAGATACCCAGAGAAGTGATACGGTGGCGGTTTGTAGTATTTCTACTATACGTATGTATACCACATGACGGTAAGCTAAGCGTTGACTTTGACACGCTTTTCCTTAATCGTAATGCTTATAGCTGACGAACCGTTCCTCTGAAAATTTCTCAGCAGTCTGGTTACATGGTGTTATTTTTGAAAGCCTGGACAAGCTTTTTCTCTTTGTAATCAGCACTAAACAATTCTCTCAGTTGGAATCCTGGAAGTTACACTAGGAACTCCTTCACCTTGTCAGCCAAGCTATGGTCGTAAAGGTACAAGACTTTCATTCTCGCGGTGCTCTGCATTTCCTGTAAGAAATAAGTTAAAAGTCTGTGCGTCTTGATCGAAAGTACGTGCTGCGAGCACCACTGGCGGCCATTGCCTGAAAGAAAATCAA